TTGTCAGTATGTATTGATTACGTCACGTCCACGATCGTGCCCGAGCAGCCGTAAGTATTTTGAACAGTATCCGAAATTGAGGAGATTTTGGTTCCGTTCGTCGCTAAATTTGCCCAAGCCACGATCAAACCATATTATTTAGAAAGAGAAATCTTTGTGAAAAGATGTAATCGAATTTGTTTTGGCGTACGAGAAGTTTGAGCGGAGATATTTGACTTTGAAGGCGATGCGGTCGTGCTGCCAGTGATTAGCCTTTTACTGTTATATTATATATAGATGAGCACACACAATGTAGGCCACAGAAAATGTTACATCAACCGCTCTAAATGAGTTCATGGAGTAATTAAAAGAATGCAAAGGTATTATACTATTATGTCAACTATATTTTATTGTTAAAATGTATTTATTTGACTAATTTAAGAATGTTTTTAAAATAGTTTTGGTTGACTATAAATTTGTTTATAAAAACCGTTAAAAACCCGCAACACCTGATCATTCATTCTGAGATTGGGCCGCCTGTGAGCGATGCCGTTTGTTTTTACTGTATTTATTTTTAAATTGTTGAATAAATTAGCGTAACATGTCAATCAACCTGTCGTCAACGTAAATTCAGCCAATCACAATTCTCGGCAGCTGGCTGCCGAGAGCATCAATTTTACTAGGGCTTCCGGGCAGGCTCTCTTTCAATTATCTGCCCTACAAAAGAGCCGGCCACGCTGGCTAATATTTTTGTTCAGACAATTGCGTAATTTGATACAATATTATCGTGTTTGACTTCAAAGGCCCATAAATCGCTACAATGTTGATAATGACTATAACTATAGGGAGGAATTAGTTGAATCTTTTATTTCTGAATCGAATGGTGGTATTTCTGTCTTCATAGCATGCACTGAACCGAGGATATAAAAATTCCTCGCCGTCATCCGCTAGCGGATGACGAGACTGGCTTGTGATGCAAATGTGATTACTTAAGTTAGGCTGGAAAACACTGGATGAAAGGCGACAAAATCTCATGGAAAAATGTATGAGTAATGTTATGAATAATAATGTCTGGAGATAGTAGGTAGCCTTTTTGAAAAGTGCAACAATTTTAATTATAATTTGAGAAGTAATGGCAAATTTCTAAGACTCTCAAACCAAATACAAACTCTATCAAGAGAAGTTTTAGTTATATGGGGTCTAAGACCTGGAATCAGCATCTAAACGATAAATTGTAAATATTATAATTCTATTATCTTACTTGTAAACATTAGGGACCGATCGTTTATTACGTCTCAGGGGGCGGTGGTTTGAGGGGAGGGGTTAATTTTTTAAATATGGCTATTTTGGGGGGGGGTAGTTTTTTGTTTCCCGAAAGGAAAAGAAGGGGGGTTAAATTTTGAAATTGCAAACGATTCTTACATATTAATATGACTTTATTTGGTGTATGAGATGAAATTCAAAATATATCTACCATTTTGAATTTGAAAAAAAGAAACACAAATACAAACTAATCAAGCAAGATTGCGCCATTGTGTGCAATTTTTGCATAGAGAAGACTGGAATCTAGTTCTTAGCATTCAACTCTTTATAGTTGAAAGTTTAGTCCCGCTTACCGGGACGTCTCGCTTACCGAGACGAATATTTCCGTGCGTTCATATGGAGTATTTCGTCCCGCTTGCCGAGATGAAATTACATTGTAGTTCTATAATTAATAGCGTATGCAAAACTTCTACATTTCAGTCAAGCAATACAAATACTTAAGCCTAGTTCTCATTCATCGCAAACCGTCGGCGATGGGAGCTTTGCGACGTCGGCGACCGCTTGCCATTTATGAGAACACATCAAAAATTATATCGCCGATTGTCCGTAATCGTCGCCGACCATCGGCGATGACATCGCAGGAAACAAAAAAGTTTGTTTCTTGCGACCATCGTCGACTGCCACCTGCTTGAAAAATCTATGAGAAATGAGTAAAAGTTGTTTTTTCCTCTACAAGCAAGGAAATAATCAATTGAAGTTTGACAGAAATAATGAACTTTACGTTGAATGGGGCCATTTTGTAGGAAATTTGGGAAATTTCGAAACACATCGGCTGTCATCTGCGACGATCACCGATGTATGAGAACTTTCGTGCATTCGCGCTCGGCGAGTATCGGCGATAAGCGTCGCCGATCGTCGGTGACAGTTTGCGATGAATGAGAACTAGGCTTTAGCGATTTTAGTGTTTTTCTTCGTTTATTTACAAGAAAAAGTATTTCTTCAGATGCTTATTTAATACTTGTTTACAAAACAAACATAAAACCAAGTAAAAAGTGTTAAATTAAACCGGCAAGACTTGTTTGACTTCATCCAGGTAAGCGGCTTGGCGTGTTCATATGGAAAAATTTTCATCCCGCCTACCTATGATCTCGGCAAATTCAAACGAGATCTCGGCAAGCGGGCCAGGTCGCTTTCTCATATGAACACAATGCAAAATTTTATAGGAAAATAGATAGGCGGCGAGATCATCGGTAAGCGAGACGTCCTGGTAAGCGGGATCATATGAACAGGCCCTTAGTGACTCCGCTGAACGGAATGATTGCAGTCAATGGTTTACACCTGAAAAAAAAACATGGCGGAAAATGTTTCAAAAAAGGTATTTTTTATCTACATTTTATAATAATATATAAATATTATTGCATTTTTACTTTTACATGTTTATATCATTCATTAATATGATATTTTTGTATAACGTTTTCCTGTTTTGTATTGAATGCCAAAATACGCAATCTTGCTGTTATATATGACTCGATATTATATTGAATTAGCAATTTCGCGAGGCCTTATAATTTGAATATTTGATGCACTGAGGTTTGATGCCTAGAAATGCCTAGTGCAATTGGGGGGGGGGTATATTTTTAAATTTTAATCTATATAGTTGAACAGGGGGGTCATTTTTTCATTTCCAAAAAATATGGGGGGGTGCATATTTTATTGATAATGTTTTAAAAAAAACCACCGCCCCCCCTGAGACGTAATAAACGATCGGTCCCTT